GTTTTTTTATTCGTGGTGCCCGGGGTTGTGGTGCCCGTGTTGTGAGAAAACAACATTCACGCTCCTCTTACCTTCAGAGAGAAAGCCCCAAACCCCAACGCTCTGCCCTTACGATTTGATCTGCTTTTGTAATCGGGAAGAAAAAACACAACAGCAAACGTCTGAAATTTCTCCGGGGACTTTGGCACTGAGCTGGCCAGGGCAGCGTTCAGGTACCACAGCGACGGACAGCCAGCGCTGAAAAAAAATGCCGGTACCTAAGAACACATGAAACGCAGCTTTGAGACAAACTCTGCTAGGCTGAGGGGTTTCTAACTGAGAGGAGATGCTGAAACTGTCCCCTTGGTCTCCTCCTATAAATTGGGAGCAAACCCGTAGGAGCCTGTGGAGCTACCGTGGAGTACAAGAGAGGGGATGGGTTGGGGAATTCGGACCCAGGAGGGCTGACATCAGGTAGGTGCAGTGGAGCAGCCAAGCCCCGGAGCACCTCCTTGTCCCCACTGACTCCCGGCTTCCCACGCTCTCCGTGGAGATAAGCCTGGTTTCTGCTGAACTAAATGCTGCAATCACCTTGAAAGAGAGAGCAACTGCTGGGAAGTCCCAACAAAGCAGTCCCAGTGATTCTTAAATGGGATGAGTAACTGCTCGTTACTGGTGTGCGTGCAAGGAGAAGCTGGGGGCCTTGCTGGGAGTGGAAAGAAAGAGAGCGGAAAACCACAAAGTTAGGAATAAAACCTCTTTGTGAATACACAGTGGTGGAAGTGCACATACGCATCTCCACTCCACGGGCTGTGGAATAGTTGTCAGGACTGGATTTGGTCTTTGTGTTTTGCAATGAAACATCTGGTCCCTCCGCTGATTTGGAGATACGAATGAGCCCAGTCAGTCGTTTGGTTATACAAAGACATGTGAAAAAGCAAAGAAACACCAACAAGTGCAGCGCAAACTCCATTGCAATTCTCCCAGGCTGTTTATCAGTCTTTTGCTGGGATGGGATGATTAGAAAGCCCGTGACAAATTGCTTACTTAGCTTTCTGGCTTCCTCATTTCTGAGCAGATTTCACTATGCATCAGCCTAGGACTGTGTTTGCATGTGTGTTTTGTGTTTTTTTTTCTCCCCTCTGTAGACAAAATGGCAAGAAAAAACTGCCCAGCTTTTTCGGTATAGAAGGAGGGCAGGAGAGAGATATAACCACAGACAAAATCCTGCAGTATATTCCAGGAAAGGCAAGTACAAACACATCCAAGCCCCCTCCCCACTGCTCCCACAGATTATTCCCACCCCCTCCAAGGACGGTGCTGTGCAGAAGAGGGACGATGGATCTGGATCTAGGGGTAGCAGCAGATCTCTCTCAAGGAGATGGAGCTCACATCTGCAGCCGAGAGGAAGGAATGAGCCCTGTGGCCTTCAGAGCAGCAGAGCTAGCTGCTCCAGGGTCCCCATGCAGATGTTGAGGGGACCTGCCACCAGCCAAAACGTGCGATGGGGTGAGAGGGTCACGTCGAGAGCAAAACAGCACGGTGGGAATATCTCACACACGCCTTTGCTCTCGGTTCTTTTGTTTCTGGGTAGCCTGTGAAGGAAGGGCAAATTAGAGCGAGCATGCAAAGGTAGGATGATTCATTCCCACGCTGGAATGAGACGGAGCAGGCAGCGGTATTAGCAATGAGCCCGGGGAAGGTAATCAGGAAGGGCAGGTCTGTCCCAGGCACGTACCAGCCTTGTGGCCATATGGCCCGTTTCCCAGCACTGCTCAGGGAAAGCAGAGGTGAAATGATGAACCCCAGTACGTTTGCTTGGTCATCTTTGGGCAGGCCAGAGATGTGGACCAAGCTTCAAGGCTGTACTGGGTGTGCATCTCCTCCGATAATGGCAAACAGGCTATGTGGATATGGTGGAAGGGGAGACTGAGGCAGGGAGAGAGGTAATTTCAGAGAAGGTCAGCAGCAGGACATTGTCTCTTGGGTTTCAAGCGGCTGGCTAGCTGTATTTCAGTGGTGAGGAGGTACTTGTCAAGGGCTTGGGGTATTGCTGGATCTGGCTCTGCTCACGTACTTTGGGCTACTGTAGAGATTCAAATGTGCTCCCCACAAGTGGGGACCGTGCAGTCCCTTTCCATTCAGCTTCTCCCAGGTTGGCCCTTTCTGACCCAAAGGACCTTTTCTTTCCTTCATGTGAGCCTGAGAAGGAGCAGGATGGAAATCCTACTCCTGGCTTGTGAGGTGCCCACGGCTGAGCCCCATTGGGGGAACCTGTCCTGAACTGTGCAGGTGGGCAGCACAGCAGGACTGAGACTGTTCACAGTCCTGCCCCTTGCTTGTGGATCAGAGGACGAGTGGCAGGAATGATTCCCTGCGTGACTCAGCTGGTTTCTGGGAGGGTTGGACAGCACCTGACAGGGCCAGGTCGCAGATGGATCCTGGATACTTCCCCTGGAGAAGCAGGGAGAGCTGACATGTTAGCGGATCCTGGAAAACGAATCCTGCGAGCTGACAGAACAAAGTTCACCGAGAGATTATTCACACGGCAGAGTGTGGGATCTCTTCAGGCACGGGAAGAGGGTGGAGCAGTTGTTTGGATGTTGCCCTCACCTGGGGCAGATGGGGTTCGAACTCCCTGCTCAGCCACAAGCTTCTTGTGTGGCCTGCAGAAAGCCTTGGCTTAGTCCTTTTACCCACTCCCACCCATTTTTTTTCAGGAGGAACCCCTCTGGGAGTGAGAGGTGGGGGCCAGGTCAGAGAGGAGCCGTCAGCACAGGGCTCTCCCGATGCAATCTCAGTCACCAAACCTCAGGCCAAAACAGCAATTTGGGACTGGGGCAAGCGGCAGCCTTGGAACCCAGATCCTCTCTGGACTCTGCTGCAGGCAGCTGGGACACAAACCGATGCCTTTTGCTCCCACCAGCCTTCTGCCCCTTTCCCACAGTTTCCAGATATGGCTTCTGCGGAAGCCTATCAAAAGGGAGGGGAGAGGATGCGCTGGAAGATCCGTGCTTCTCATTTGCTTCTTTTATCATTAAACAGCAGCTTTGGGAGCCCCAGGGCATCAGCCTTGCAAGGCTGAGCTCTTCCTGCTGCCCGGGTGAGTGATTCAGCTGGGAGTCACTGGGGTCTGCAGGGGCTGAGGCAGGTTAATTATTAACTTGCTCTACCTGTCGGATGAGGCATCTGAGACTGAGGGAGAGAGCGAGAGAACATGTCAGGGCACTTGTGCTGCCAGAGACCTGCTGTTCTGCCAAGCCCTGAGAGAAACCGGGTTTCCAGCGATCTGCGCTGCCTCAGACCCAGCGGGATGGCTGAGCTAACGGGAACGGTGCTCTTTGGGAACGGTGCTCTTTGGGAACAGTGCTCTTTGGGACCAGGCTGGGGAAGGAGGGCGGTTGCAAACGGCACAACCCAGCCAGGGAAGTGAAGGGCTGGCCGCGGCAGATTTCAGAGGAATGGTGAATGCTATTTCCCTTTCGTTTTGGTTGCACGCTGAGGCATCCCCACGGTTTCGGGGATGCGTGGGCCAGGGAGATAAGTGGTGCTCGTGCAGGAGGCTGTGACAACTCTTGTCACTGACCCTCACAGGACACCACAGGGTTCCCAGTGTAGTTTTTTTGGGGGATGGCCAGATGCAGGCCGTGCTGATGGCTATAAACCTATCACAGAGAGGGCAGGGATGCACTTGTGGGTCTGAGCCCAGAGACATCTGAGATTCAGCAGAAACATTTTTTTTCCAGCGCTTGGGTTTAGACAAGTCCTCCACATCTTAAGAAATTGCTGTTGTACCTCTGTGCCACCCAGCTGGATGCTCGTTTGGGAGAGGGAAGTATTCCCTTTGATTAGTTTCTTGCCACATGAACGGTGGCGGTGAAGCTCTCCCTTCCGCTCCTGACCCCGGGGAGGATCGCTGTGGAAGCTGGCGGGTTGGCAGAGCTCTTTGCCAAAGCTGCTGTGGCATTCCCAGCTCCCAGGTTGATTTTTCCTCCTCGGGGCCTTACTTATTACTGCCACATTCCAGGCAGCAGCAGCATCCAGGCAGCTGGTAGCCGGCGCTGCCGCTTATCACCGTGTCCGTAATTTCATTACTTTATCCTCTCGCCCCTCCCTGGTGCTGCCCTCACCCGAGCAGTGTTTTGTTATTGCTGCCCCAGCTGTCAGGTGATCAGCTGCTCTTTGTTCTGACAGCGGCTTGTAGCACAAATGTAATCTTTTCCTATCCTTAATTACCTCAGGGAGCCCATTAATTGGCAGCCAACAGGTTCCCACCTCCTGGGTACTGTGTGAAGCAGGCTGGGAAGGCTGGAGGGAGAGTTTAGGCAGAGAAGGGGTTAAGTTGTGCCCTAAACAGTTCCCTAAATTCAGCGAAGCCATGGAAGGAACCTCAGACTTTGCAGGTGAAAGGGTCCTGCCAGTATTTAGGTTCCTGTTACCGGTTCACCGGCTCCGGAACAGGGTTGGGAGAGGGGTTGCTTCATGCCGGAGGGGTGAGTCACGGAGGCCCCAGCAAGACAGATCTGGTTAGCAATGCTGGATCTTCGTGTCTCGTGGGGCTCACGCAGCTGTCCCCTTGGCACGCCGCGCCAGACAGGTTGGGCGATGGGGAACTGGATCCCTGCTGAGCCCCGGCAGCCCCTCTCCCTGCTCATTCCTGGAGATGCTGATTTGTTTGTGTGGTGGTTTGTTTTTTTTTTTTTAATCCTGAATCCATGTTACAGAATATTCAGAACCAGGAAAACCAGAAAGAAAACTTGGACCAGAGGTTCCCCAGCCTGTTCAAGAAGGGACGAAGGAAAATGGTCGTCAGGAATCTGGGCAAAATTATCTATTACTCTAAGGTCAAGTTTAAGTTCCAGCACTGCCAGGTGAGCTGTGGCACCTGTTTGTGGGCATTTCTCTTCTCACCCTGCAGGATTGGGAAGTAAAGTTTAATTATGGGAAATGTGACTCACGGAGACTTCCTGGGGCTGCTGCGTGGCTGAGGGAATTTTGCTGCCACGGGGGGTGCGGGCACCGGCTGGCACCCCCCAGCTCCCGGGGTGTGCGGGCACACCCAC